AAGTGAGAAAAGGGGCCGTGAAGGTCAGATTAAATCGACCTGTTGCACCATTGAGTATATCGAACGCTCCTGCGTTGCAATTGGCCCAATGGATGTGATTTTCCAATATTATTATGCGTTCAAACTTTTAAGGTATTTCGTCTGAAATAAGTATATGTATATTGCATTTCTGTAGAACAATGATTCGCACCCATTTTGAAATTGCCACCTACTATACTGTAAAGCTTCTAGGACATTCACTATAGAACCGGGTCATTGTTTCCGCCAGGGAGTGGAGAGGAAAAAATTTATATCGCTTTGCGAATAACCGTGCTATGAAATGCCGCACAACTGGAGAATTTCAAGAACGGATATAACACTTTCCTTAGGACCACCAAACCTTAATCTTAGCAGACAAATGTGCCAATGAAAATCGTAAACGTGAATTGTTAATGAAAATGTTGGACCAAAAAGATTCAATAAAATATATAAAAATTTTGGGCGGGACGAAGTTCGCCGGGTCTGCTAGTTTTCTATATTAATAAAAATATTGTGTTCGTATGTCACGGTCGTCAAAACTCGAGAACGGCTGAACCGATTTGAATAATTTTTTTCTTGTATTGTTCGGTATAATACCAGAACCAATGATATCACAAAAAATTGGAGGGTTGCCACCTATTTGAAAATTTTTAAACCCAATTATATTGATAAAATAAATAAATTATTACAATATGGGTATCAAATTAAAGAGTTTTAAGAAAGATAACTGCTGGATATATTTTTGACGAGGGTTGTCACCTATTTGTAAATTTTAACTCAGACAAATTGATAAAATAAATGAATTATTGCCATGTGGCTGTAAAACTAAAGAGTTTTAAGAAGGCGTACAGGCGAAAATATGTTTGAGGAGTGTTGCCACCTGTTTGAAAATTTAACTGAAGTACATCGATGAAATATTACATTATGGGTATCAAATTAAAGAGATTTAAGAAAGATATCTGTTGGAAATATTTTGGAGAAGGGTTGCCACTAATTTTTAAATTTTAACTCAGTTAAATTGATAAAATAAAGTAAATATTGCTATGTGGGTATCAAACTAAAGATTTTTAAGAAGGCTTACAGTCGAAACTATTTTAAAGGAGGGTTGCCACCTGTTAAAAAATTAAGCGCAATTTTATTGATAAACTAAATGATATATTACAACATAGATATTAAATTCAAGAGGTTTAAGAAAGATAGCTGCTGGAAATATTTTTGAGTAAAATTGCCACATCTTTGAAAATTTAAACTCAGTTATTTTGAAAAAATAAATGAAATACGGTAATTTGGGTATGAAACTTTAGATTTTTAAGAAGGCTTACAGCCGAAAATATGCCTGAAGAGGGTTGCCACCTGTTTGAAAATTTAACTCAATATAATTGAAATAGGTATCAAATTAAAGAGGTTGAGGAAAGAAAACTTTAGGAAATACTTTTGTGCAGGATTGCCACCTATTTGAAAATTTTAACTCAGTTATATTGATTAAACAAATGAAATATTGCAATGTGGGTAGCGAACTAAAGAGTTTTTAAAAGTCCTGCAGTAGAAAGTTTCTTTGAAGAGGGTTGCCACCTGTTTGAAAATTTATCTCAATTAAATTGGTAAAATAAATGAAATGTTACAATATCGGTACCAATCTAAATGCATTTAAAAATCTTGATTTAGAAATCTATATTTATATATATAAAAATGTTGTGTTCCTTTGTCACGGTCATCGAAACTCGAGAACCGCTGAACTGATTTGAATAATTTTTTTTTTGTATTGGTCAGTATCATAGCAGGACCATTTATATTACAAAAATAAATAAATGAAGTATTTCAATATTAAGGTTTACGGCCGAAAATATATTTTAGGAGGGTTGCCACCTGTTTGAAAATTTAACTAAATTTGCATAATTGATAAATTAAATGACTTATTAAAATATAGGTATTAAATTAAGGAAGTTTAAGATAGATGGCTGTTGGAAATATTTTTGAGGAGAGTTGCCACCTTTTTGAAAATTTTAACTCGAAAGCTTAGTATGTTGCACCAATGTATTTTCAATATAAAGCGATAAAATAAACCAACGAAAAATTAGTCCCTTG